TTTGTGTCACAGGGATTATACACTGTTGAGATACAATGTCCTTGAGCATTTTCCATTAGGTGGATAGCTACACGCTGTCCTTTAGGGAGGCCAGGGCCTATTAGACATAATTAACAAAGGAATGTTTTCTATTATATTGTAAGTTTTCTTTTTCTGATACCTTCCCTCTTCTTTCACTAGAATGAATTCACTTCAGCTAAATAATTATGAACTGATGGACAGAGATTCACTTCACTCACCTGATTTCACTTCATGTTTCAGCTGGCATATGAATTTATCCCTTTGGGACATATATAGGAAAAGCTATGATTGCATGCCAACAGGAAATGCATTAGATATGTATTTATTGTGTGGAAACTAATATGTTCCAATATTAGAAATTTCAAGGCATGGTAAAAAAAGTTTTTTTTCCTCATACATTTCAAAGTCCTTTGGTATTTAGACCGCATCAAAACTTAACAAAAGCACACTTAAAAGCATGGAGCTGGTGCAAATTTCTACAGAATGTGTCATAAGTATGACACCTGCTCATGTGTTAATTCTACTGTAAAATTTATAGTAACAGACTACTTTTGCAACTAATGTTATAATCATGGAATTGTCATGTCAGTGAATACTGAAGCCAAGAGCTGCTTAGGCAGGTTTTGTAATGTGATGATAGGACAAGAAGCAATGAGCTTAAATTGCAGGAAGGGAGATTTAGGTTGGATGTTAGGAAAAACTTCCTAACTGTCACGGAAGTTAAACACTGGAGTAAATTGCCTAGGGAGGGTGTGGTATCTCCATCAATGGCCATATTTAAGAGCGGGTTAGATAGGCATCTATCAGGGACGATCTAGAGGTTGCTTGGTCGTGCCACGAGGCAGGGGACTGGACTTGATGACCTCTAGAGGTCCCTTCCAGTTCTAGTATAGGTCTAGTTCTGCCGGAACATGGATGTTGCCAGACCAGAGAGTCCTAGACCAGAGAGGTTCAACCTGTATTCTATGATTCTATGTAAGAGGCATATACAAAATGCATGATGGTTTGGCTTTATTGGCATTCAATTGTAGTAATCTGCACAGTTTACTTATTGCTTTGCAACTTATGTACTGAGCTAGGCAACTATTGGATTTTGTTGTTCACTAGCAATTCTGAAAAATGAATTGAAAATTATTCATTGGAAATGAATCATCTGGGGTCAAACCAAACATGATTTTTTCAAAAAATTTTGCAAATTGAAAAGATTTAAACTGGTTAAATTAAATGCTTTGATCTAAAATAAATCTCTTTGTTTTTATTCTGATAATTTAAAATGTTTTTAAATAAAAAGAAAATTTGAATAAAAATTAAATGTATTATTCAGAGAGCCTAAAACATTTTAAAAATGTATTTCATTGTTTACAAAACAGTTTGATAAAATCAACATAAATTCACCACCTTTTTCAGTGTCATTGATTCTGTATTTTTCACCTCCACAAAGTTTGGGTCAACATGTTTCACCCAGCTCCACTGGTAAGTAAAGACTCATCTAAAACTTATCATGATAATAGCGGCATATCAATGAGTAGTGATCTTTCAAAGACAAATGCAGCTGCAGAAAAAAAACCTGAATCTTCAAAAATGTCTTTGCCTGTCCTTTAGTTAGTAACCATATTAATGCACTATCACTATGCAACTCTAATGTATTTATTATAAAGACTTCTTACTGTATCTTAACAAGGTGTTAGACATTCTCATCTTTTTAACATTGTTAAATACTCTTGTGGTTACAAAATGTCATCATTGTTTCAATCCAATAGTTCATTCTTGCACATTTATAATCTACAGTTGCTTTAGAATGTGACAAAGCAAACTGAAGTCAGACACTGATTACAATTCCTGACAACATACTGGAAATGTTATTAGTGAGCACAAACTTTCCTGTACTAATAATCCTTCTGCAAAGCTGAATACCTGAAGGTCAGTTGCATTGTATTTTTTTTAATCCCGGACCTCTAAGAATGAATTATAGACACACTTCTCATCTGCAAACTAATTATCCTGTGAAGACCAGTCAGTGATTGCCAGAATATGCCATTAAACAGTCTTTGGGGGATTGGAACATTTTTACATTCACATAGGCTCTTTGTTAACATGGTTGTAGGGCAGTTGGGGGTTGTTGTTTTTTTCTGCCAAAGGTCAGAATTTCTCATTAGAAACATTAACCAGACATGGTAACATAAACAGTTCTTACCTCATAACAGCACACTCAATAAAAAATACTCACATATTTTGTATAATGTTGAACAAGGAGAACAAGTGTATGATGCTGTGAATGCATGCAACTCTCAAGAGAAAAATATCAGAATATCTTGGGCTATATCCACCAGTACCATGCAACCAGCCCAATTTGCACCCTATTTGTGACTCCCTCCACTCCAAAACTGGTTTAACTGTCCAAAGGAGGACTTAAAAAATGAAGGGACACAATTATAATAAAAATATTCACACAGAAAAGATGTATCCTGTTTTTCAACCAGCTATCTTTGAAGGTTGGTAAAGGGCATCAACACTACCAAGAATTTTGTGGACTGAGGGGTATGCAGGTAGGATTTTCTGGGTTCTTCAGTCCCTCTTGCGATAAATAAATCTCCCAAGACAGGAAATAATAAATGCTATAGGACTTGTCCTTGAGCATGTGCTATGTCTAAGATATTATATTCTTCGTCTTATTGGCATTACCGAGTATAAACACTAAACACTGGCACAATGATTCCGGTCTGAATGCAGGGTCAGTAGGTCATGAAGCTGTTAGTATTTGTGATTCCATTAAAGATTAAACCTTTGTCTTTGTCCAGCTGAATCTCAATTACACAAGTAAAGTGCCATGAATGATAGCTGGGCCCAGATTGGTTCTCATTGGGTACTAGACTCAACATGAATATATATTGGAGGATATGTAGCTTTTTGCATCCAGTGTCTGAGGCAAGAAAATACCTGCTCTAAAACTGAATCTAAATGAGTACGTCTATCTAAAGAATGAGTCCTGCCAGCACTTATTTTGAAATAAATTACTATTCTGAAACATCCCTTATTCCTCATAGATTGAGGTTTACAGAGACATCGGATTAGTGAGCCCGTTATATTTCAAAATAACAGGAGCGCTCCAAGGATGCAGAATAGCTATTTTGGGAAATAGCACTGCAGTGCAGACATCCTCAGATTCCACACTGTGGTGGCATTGGAAAGAGGCATTGAGGATGAGAATGGTCAGTGACTACAGTGTCCGTGCAATGATGATTCTTTAGGACTGACTATGGAGTTCATGGCTATCAGGATAACTATGGGCCTTTCCAGATTTTTTGTTTGTTTGTTTGTTTTACTTTACTCTTAAAGGTAGCAGCACTTTGTATATTGTATGGAATAGGTCAGAGGCTGATGTCTGTAAAGGATTTGCAAGTGCAAGCAAGTTAGACTGGGTCATTAATCATAGAATCATAGAACACTAGAACTGAAAGGGACCTCGAGAGGTCATCAAGTCCAGTCCTCTGCCCTCACGGCAGGACCCAGTACTGTTTAGGCCTGATAAATTTCTATCTAACCTGCTCTTAAATATCTCCACAGATGGAGATTCCACAGTCTCCCTAGGCAACTTATTCCAGTGTCTGTCCCCCCTGACAGTTAGGAAGTTTTTCCTAATGTCCAATCTAAACCTCCCTTGCTGTAATTTAAGTCCATTGCTTCTTGTGACACCCTTTTAGATACATGAAAATCACTATCATGTCCCCTCTTAGTCTTCTCCATTCCAAACTAAACAAGCCCAATTCTTTCAGTCTTTCTTCATAGGTCATGTTCTCTAGGCCTTTAATCATTCTTCTTGCTCTTCTTTGGACCTTCTCCAATTTTTCCACATCTTTCTTGAAATGTGGTGCCCGGAACTGGGCACAATACTCCAACTGAGGCCTAATCAGCACAGAGTAGAGCAGAAGACTGACTTCTCATGTTTTGCTCACAACACTCCTCTTAATGCATCCCAGAATCATGTTTGCAACAGTGTCACACTGGTGGCTCATATTTAGCTTGTGGTCCACTATGACCCCTAGATCCCATAATATTAGTATGATTGGTGCTAAGAAAATGAAACTAACACCTTAGAACTAGATGCTCCTGTTTATGTAAACTGGGATGATCACTATTAGTTTCAGTTTACCTCCAATGAGAATGTGGGGCTTAGCAACTAAACTCCTCAGAAAGAAATAACTTTCCAGGTTCAAAATCTAAGGACTAATGGGACATCAAGGGAATGATGGCAGACCTGCTTATTTATTGAACCCAGCCTTTAGGCAAGAAAGAGTTAAGCTTCCATTCCTTGAACTATTAAAAGAATAAACATTCTCATGATAGAACTTTGTTTTAATAAAAAAAAATAACAAAAATTGTAAAGACCCAGAAGACGGACACTTGAGTAAGTAAAAAACTATTCTGACTAGAAGGGTCTGTTTCATGGTAGACATCCAATCCTGCAACCCTTGGGCATGTGTATAGGCTTACTTATGTTAATAAATTCACTGATTTGAATTGACTACTCACCTGAGGAAAATTTACTCACATGAGTAAGTGTTATTGGGCCCTAAAGTTCATTTTTCAGTACTATATTTTTATTCTAATGCTACACGGCAGTCCTTCGATATCTGCTCCCTTTAATTTGTATCTGTATTTGACAGCATATTGACAATTCATGCTGTAAAAGAACCAGGTGATCAAAGCATTTAGTGTAAACAATAAGATGCAGTCTCTAATTATAAATTATATTGGAATCTCAGCCAGAAGTAGAACTACAGGTCAGCAGACAGCACAATTAGTATGTTCATTAAAATGTATTAGATTTCTAAACACAGTAAAGTATAGAGAATGTGATTGGCATTATAGAAGATTAAGTTGCCTAAGTCAACTGGCAAGAGATGTATTGAATTCATTTTGACTGGAGTTTTCCAGTGTCATTTTAATTTCTTACACAGAACTTTGTATTACATACATACTTTCCCAATAGAGTCAGTTGGTCCATTGAGTTTCCTCTCATGTCCAGAAAGTCATCTTCACTGAATATAAATGACTCATAATATAAGACTCAAGGATATAATGTTGAATTGTTTCTGTGGAATATTAAAGACAAAAGTTTGTTAGATAATCAAAATGTTAACCAATTCTTTTGCTTTACTGTTAGGGGAGATTTTGAGGAAGCATTGTTTTGGATTTTGGGGGTTTGATGGTAGTAGCAGCGGTAGCTTTGGTTATTTATTTAGTCCTATTAAGATTAAGTTAGAAAGCTAACTTTATTATTTTGAGATAGCATTGCCAATTCTGTCCATGAGCTTCTATCCACAAAGAGATTACCTGTGTCAAGGTCAGCCTAGGTCTTCCTCGTGTAACAGCTGAAACTATAAGTCAAAAGTGTAGCTTTAAAGTTTTCATGAGAGATTGTTGGGTTCTTATTCTGAAGGATTTTGCTGGGTTTCTTTACAATGTTAGAAAGGTAGGAAGCCAGGATGTTCTGTAGTCAGAGCAACACTCTCTGTTGTGTTGTTTCACAGTCTTGAACTTTTCATACATTTACAACAATAGCAAAGCAAATACTGCTGCATACTTCATTTAGGAGAGAAATTCAATAATCTACACATATTTACCTTTCGTATCACAAGGTAAAAAGAGCAGGATGGTGGGACAAGTCCACAGCTCTTGGCTCAGGATTATTCCACTGATCTTTAAAGTGGTTTCTGCAGTTGTGTATCTCCAGGCCAGGGATACATCTACACTGCACAGCTATTATTAAATATGCTATTCCAGAATAGTTTATTTCGAAATAGCACTTTTATACTGCAGGCAAGCCACAAAATTAGTCTGGCGCAGGCTTCCCTAATGGAGATGTGCTATATCGATTTAGAGCCCCAAGAGGCACTGGAAAGGAATGGCCCTGGTGAGGGACTATTTCAAAATAGCAGTAATGGAGTATCTACACCCACCTTATTTCGAAATAGCTATTTCGGAATAGGCATTATTCCTTGTAGAATGAGGTTTACAGATTTTGAAGTAAACTATGCATTATTTTGAAATTATTATGAAATAACAGAATTGCTGTGTAGACGCTCACATTGTTATTTTGAAATAATGCTAGGTATCTTGAAATAACAGCGCAGTGTAGACACATCCCTAGATACATTGCAGGAGGAGAATCCCTCTGCACATTCTTGGCATCATCTATTGCTGGACATTCATTCTCTGATTCTCTAGGCTTCCTCCATCCCTGTGCATCATGCCAATGACTTGGTGTCATCCCCCCAGCCATTTCACATGTATGCATTCTCCAGGTAGCAGGAATATATTACACTAGATATAGTGTAAGTTAGGGGGTAGTTCCAGATGAGCTGTCAGGACTTTCCAGTTGTTTCCCTCATTCTTCCTCTATCACCCTTGGTATGCAGAGCTGAGTTCCAAATCAATCAATCAATGAATTATAAACAAATAAATAAATACATAAATAAATACATAAATAAAATGCAGCGGCATTGTAAGGGATCTATGCAGCAGTCAGATATTGTTTTCCCTTTCCATACATCCTCCGGTACAGTTTCCATATGCTTATCACACATTTATAAAGAAAGGTGACTGGCTTTCAATTACTAATTCAGCTTTCAATGGGGTTATTTGATACACTTGTCGCTTTTGTTCCTTATTGTGGCTGGCTCTGGGAATTAGCTCTCATTCCATTTGGTGCCCTTTTCTATCAGTTGCTTACTCTATTGCTTTTTTTTCTGAAGCTCTCTCTTCATGACTCAGCTCTCACCCTCCCATTGCCAAAGTCCCATTGGGCAAGCTGTGCATATGCCATGTCAAGCAGTCTTCTGGTCCACCCCAGGTCCAGTCCCACTTTCTCAGTGCTGGTAGGAGAACCCAGATTGCCACACTGCTCTAGGTTCGATTTCAGGAACCCTATGCCTAGTTACCATGGTCTACTCAATCTCAGATCCTGGTGCTGTTTCTTGGGCTTCTTCCTCCTTCACTTCCCTGTCTTCTGGCCCTCCTCTGGCTTTACCAGCCCAAGCTTCCTCAGCTCCCAGTGAATACTTCTCCCTCTCAACTTCTTACCAGACTCTATAGCCCAAGTAAGATTACCACCTGACTGGGTTTTGTTTTGTTTGTTTGTTTGTTTTTAATGGATTTGCCAATTGCCAGAAAAATTATTTAATCCATTGGGGTTTTTTTGTGGGTCTAAAGATTTGCAATATTATCACAGTATCTTAGGATATCTAATGTTAAAAGTCTGTGTCCGGCTAATGATGCTGCAGTCTTCCCACTTCCATAGTGTAAGCCATAACAGATCAAAACAGTTGGAAATACAGCAGTTGTCTGCTCACCAGTATGCAAACATACTGCCCTCCTGAGGAGATGTGTGGGAACGTTACATAATGGGAGATTGGGGCGATAGGGCGAGTGATCCTACTACAACTCTGAAGAGAAAAAGTTAGACTCACAAACTGCACATTCAAAGACAACTGGCTAAACAAATAGACTACTGGCAAAATGTGTAGCTAAAAACCATTCATTTGTTAGCAATGATGTTATCAATATGTGTTAACTTTCTAGCAACTGCAAGTGGCTGTTGAAGGGGTAGAGGTTGTGGGGTTGCTTTGACATTAGGATTTGGGCTCTGGCAAGCTTGCCTGGTGGTAGTGGAGGATAGCAGGCTTTTCTGCATTTCAAAAGTGGTAACCCTATGGTTTATCACCCTAAGGTGGTAAATTTCCTCCTGCCTCCCTTTCTCCCTAGAGAATGACTTCAGTGTTTCTCCCTGCAACCTCTTCCTGCTCTCTGCTTCCTGGCTTTATATAAACCCAGCCTGTCTCTGACCAGAAAGGCTGCATCTCCAGCTAGTCTTTATCCATTCCTGACCCTCCTCCAGTTACAGCCTATAAAGTCAATTGGCCCTTTATAACCTGCCTGGGCCTTTTATGGGCTGGGCATAGGGAGGTTTGTGGAACTGATATCTTGAAATTATGATGAAATAAATGTCATCTACGTCATCGACAGCCTCTACCCACTACAAAATATTGTTCACCAGAAGATCACATGCATACACAGAGCTGCTAGATATCTGCAGACTCAACTCAACCCCCCCCCCCCATCATCCTATACAATCAGTCTTGGTAATTTTCTGCAGTGAAAGGAACTTTAACCTCATTTTTCTTTTCAGCAACAATGCCAGCTAAAACATTCTTATTTTGAGATCTCTGGCTGACAGCACCGGATAAGAGCTATGTTTTATTACTTCCTGTGCAATCCATCTTGACAAATAGTGGAGTACCTTATCCATCACAAATACACAAGAAATTTTTTCTTCTGTCTTATTTTTAAGCCAACTGTATTTACATTAAGAAACCATTAACTATAAAGTGAGCAGGGTGGAGGGGGGGAGGGAAGAGGGGGCTTTACACATTGTGTCCTTTGTCTAATAAGATTAGGATTCAGTTTTCAACTTCTTGCTCAGCAGGTCTGTCACTAGAACATTGTCTCTCACAAGCCCTGGGATGTTGTTTTTCACTTAAATGTTACTGGGGAGGAGATTTCATGCATTTGAGTGGGCAAAATCCCCATGTTCTGTGGCAAAAACAACTGTGTTTGTGCACACATCAAAATATTGAACTGGAAATACTCACTAACTTTCACATGTGATAAAAAATGAACAGTATTTTTGGGCTGATTCAAAGCTCACTGAAGTCAAGAGTAATCTTTCCACTGACTTCAATGGGCTTTAGATCAGGCCGTTAAAGTTTGGCAATTGCAGAGCTGAAGAAAATACCATCTTGACCTTGCATCTAATCTTTTTAATAGGTCTTTGTCATGGGGATACGGCCATCCCCCTCTGGATGTGGGCATCGGCCCCTAAAACCGGATGAGCAGGGCTCAACCCTGCATGAGTTACCAGGTTGGGGGCTTTGCCCAAAGTCCAAACTACATGGATAACCCAGCCGGGCCATCTCAGTCAAAGACAAAATGTTGCTCATCCAAGGCTGTACATCCTAGCGTATGTCTAGACTACATGCCTCTGCCGACAGAGGCGTGTAAAATAGGCTACCCGACATAGTCAATGAACTGGGGATTTAAATATCCCTGGCTTCATTAAAATAAAAATGGCCACCGCGCTGTGCCGACTCAGCTGATTGTCAGCACAGCACGGCAGTCAAGATGTGGATCAGTCGACAGGGGAAGCCTTTGTTGACCGCTCCTGTAAACCTCGTCTCATGAGGCATAAGGGAGCGGTCGACAAAGGTGTTCCCTGTCGACCAATCCGCATCTTGACTGCCGCGCTGTGCCTACAATCAGCTAAGCCAGCACAGCACAGTGGCCATTTTTATTTTAATGAAGCCAGGAATATTTAAATCCCCACTTCATTGACTATGTCGGGTACCCTATTTTACATGTCTCTGTCGGCAGAGGTATATAGTCTAGACATACCCCTAGTGTCCAGAGTCAGTAACAACATCCTTTTCCCACAGCGCATATGCCTATGGAGCTCCCTGGTTAGAGGCAGAAGACAGCAATGGAGTTACATCCCCCACAAAGGAATCAGGGCCTCCATGTCTCCCGGACACCAGCCCAGGGCTCTATTAGTGACTGTAGCTTGAGCCATTGAGTCAGCAGGGAAAAGCTCCAACTGAAACACATTGACTCCCAGCTTCAGCTCACTTATCAGTTAGCTATCACTTTCCCCTAGGCTACTTCCCACTGCCGTCCCCACAGCTGCAGTGCAGGCCTCCCTCTCTCCTCCCTGGTCTGTGGGTTTCCTACTCCGTGGGGCTTCTGGAAGTGCGGGGCCTTCAGCCTGGGTAGCAGCAGTGGCTTGCTTGGAACAGGCAGTACATGTCCTTTCCCTGTAGCAGCCAGCCCAGACTGAGCTGTTCCATATACCTTTATATGCCTCCAGTTGGAGCATGCCCAGCAGGGCTGTGGGGATGGGGCCTACTCAGCTAGGTGTACAGAGTTAATCCTTGCAACTCCAGTGCAGGGCTGGTACACCCCATCACAGTCCTACTTTAGGCTTTCTCCTGTTTCTATTAGAATCTGCTGTCCCTCTACATGGTTTTACCTCAGTTCATTT